GCGACATACCGGGTAAATTGATCACAGAATCGGTTATCTCAGAGTTTAACCATGTCTCTGTAATCATGACGAGGTCCCGCGGTTGTGAGGCATGGAGTTCTCTAAGTTTGGCCAACGTGCTTAGAAAGCCTTGGTTGTTTGTGTACATGCTTTCGTTGTTATGAGTTCGTTGATAGATGTCAAATTTGTGCCAGTTTTTAAGCCGGCCCTTAGCTGGCCGGCCGTTAATCGTTTTTTGCTTTATGTATTTCAGTAATGTTGCATGGCATTATTGAGCGTCCCTGAACAGATGTTTCACTCGTGCTGTGCTCGGTTCTCTTGCATGTCGTGGGCGCTGTTGTGTCGGTCTCTTCGCAGAACTGTGAAAATAAAGAATTTGCAGGATTTGCAAGTTCCATCGAATTTCTTCCGACTTTTGGTCGTTCGCCTGCTGCCTTTAGCCGTATTTCTGTTGGCAACCTAGCTCGAAACTTTAACCAGCTATCCAACAGAACTTGCGTCATTCCCTCAGAGTGTAGTATTACCTTCATTAGCCTAGGACCGCAGCCCTTGTAGTTAGGTGACAACGGAACTCTTGTTAGGGATTTGGCAATAACATTGTTAACACAGAGTGCTTCGCGGATGTAGCACCACTGTTCTCGGTCATGTGTATGTGCATCGTGATCAAAAGCATGCAGGAGCTCGGGAACACCATGAACAAATATTGTTTTCTTGCTATCCCTAGTAGCAATACCGCGTTGCTCCACTGCTTCTTTTGTGCGGTCTTTCCAAGGTAGCTCAGGTAATATGCGCACTCCGCTCGGTGAGTTGCGAAGACGAACTGCTGAGAGCAGGACAGCCTCTGTCTCATCTGCTGAGTTTAGAGTTACTCGAAGAATTCGAGGTTCACCAGAGTGCACTGAGGTCGGGTGACGTGCTACGCGTTGCAGCATTGCAGGCTCAACCCGAATACCAATCGCCTCGCAGATGGAACTCCACTGGTTGCGATCGTCTTGCAACTTGCCTTTTATTGTGCCAGATTTGGATTCGGGAACATTGGTGCACACGAGAGTTAGCGCAGCGTGGTTTTGTCTAGCAAGTGTTGGCTTTATACTTTTTGCCGGCAATTCAGGTTGTTTAGAGGGCACCACTGGACTTGACGGTGAAAGCTGCTTTGGGCCACGCGTGCTCGGTACTGAAGATGAACTTGTTTGTGTCGCTCCCGGTGTGTTTGTGGATGCAATCGATGCGTACGTTACCTGTTTGTTATCTGCACCGGATTTCCTTCGGCTGTGAGCTATCGGTGTCATGGCTGAATCTCCAAGTGAAGCGTCTATGGTTGGAGAAGTGGACGCAGGCATGTTTGAGGCTTGCCCACTGATGGGAGTGAGGTGACCCAGTGGGTTTAGAGTCACAGAGGCTGCAGTGCGGTTGGATCGTCTAGCTCTTTTCTTCGGTTTAGACGCAGAACTAACTTTGACCGGGTGAGGTATTATCGTGGCCATATTTACCTCCGAGGGAGCGACCTTAGTATTTACAAATTGTGCGATTATTTCAGTCATCCTATCGCATTTTTTCATTAGCAATGATAAACAGTTGACAACTGGAATCACTTGACATGATGGGCAAAACCAAATTGTGTCAGCAACTTGGTTTGTCTGTCTCACTTCTTGGACAGATTTGCCTGCACATTGCGGGCAGTACGATTTAATGCAGCTGGAACAGGTGATACTGATCTTAAGGACTTTAATGCAGTTGTCTGCACAACATAGGCGACGCTGAACCATAGGAATGCTAGTTGTCCTCTTGTTTACAACAAAGCCTTGGTGAGTGTATTTTGCGCTAGGGGTGACGCACGAATAGGTCAGAACACGCACACGAACTGAGAGTTGTTCGACCGCACCAAGGTCAGGCGTAGGGGCAGATGGGGGTCGTAACGCGCAGACTGTCGGATTCAGCGATCAATAGACTTGCAGTGGTACACACACAAACAAAGCGGCAGCGTGTGTTAATCGGCCTGCCTTAAGCGACGATGCAGGTGGAGCGCTGAATCCGACAGTC